TTCAACTCCTAAGCTTTTTGAACTCCTTCTATAACTGCAAAGATCTTAGCTCTAAGGGAGTCACCCACTCCAATTGGGCCTGAGAACATGGCAGAAATGACCCCATTTCCATCCCTAAAAACACCCCCAATCCCCGATTGTCCCGAATTTCCCCTGCGACACCCATCAAAGTTTAGTTTCACGAATCCACTAGGTGGAGGGGTCCAAGCCACACTCATTACTGACTTACTTTGTGTGCAACTTGCAATTTCACCCCACTTCCTCAACATGTCATCCACAATGTAATCTGTGAAAAGCTCCAAAGATTTCAGCCACTGTACCGCCCTAATATGAATGATAGCCCTCAGATCTGCTACTCCTCTCTGAGCTTCTGAGAATATCCTGGAGTTTCTTTCTTCCCAAAGTGTCCAACATACTGCARCCCTTAGTCCTCTCCACATTGTCCTTCCCCCTTTTATCTGCCACCTGAAAAAAGAAGGGGAAAAAAGGCCTTGCAAGTCTAATGGGGGGTTCCAACAACAACCAAATAGGGACAAAGCCCATTCCCAAATTGACCTCGCAAAATGGCAAGACACCAGTAGGTGAAAACCAGTCTCCCCATCCGCTTTACAAAGAACACACCACTGAAGTGACAAACAAGTATTGGGTCTCTTCTTTTGGAGTAAATCACCAGTATTGATTCTTACGAGATAGGCTTCCCAACAAAAACTACCAACCCTAGGAGGTATTGCTCTGCACCGAACCTCATCAACAGAAAAAGGAGGGAAGGTAGGACTGGTGGACTGACTTAAGACTTTGAAGAAAGAAGCACAAGTAAAAATKYCATTGGGAGAAGGTGTCCAAATTCTAGAGTCCGCCCTAGTGGGGTCTAAGACAACGTTATCAAGAATTGCAATAAAGCTCAAAATAGTATCAAAGTCTGAGTCCCTCAAATCCCTTCTTAGACCCAAGTTCCACCCAATCCCAGAAATGGAAGAGGACGGGGTGGTAAAAGACGAGATTGGCTCATTTTTCAAATCAGAAAGTGCAAACAAAGAAGAAAATTGATCCTTTAGAGGGGCACTCCCCATCCAGGTTTGTTCCCAAAATTTTATGGAGTTACCGGAATTCAAATCATACCTGATATTAGGGGAGAAAACTGGAAGTAGGTCATGAATGGCTTTCCAAGGAGAATTGCTTGTGGTCCTAGCTCTGATTCCAGCATCCCATCCATTATGCTCCAGCCCATGAATACTTGCCACTATTCTAGCCCAAAGCTTCTCCTTCTCCA